TGGAAAATGTTCTATATCTACTTTTTCATCAGCTATTCTCATTAGGTTGCTCAAATGCTCATCAGTCAATCTGTTACGATATTTTGTTTTAATTCGGTTTTGGGTGCTAAATGACCTTGCAACAGATGCTGAACTATTCGGAATCACTAATTAAATTTGTAGCATTGTGCACACACTTTCCTATCCTCTACATCTGCCAGCATAGGTTCTTCACTTATTTCTGTTATGGAATAGTGAAGTTCGTTGAAGTTATTTCCATGTTGATACTCTTTGTCAGGTCTTCCAGATTAGTTTTCACAGACTTAAACTTTTACAAATTGCTCTAAATTGTCGATGAGGGAGTTTGGTAATTCATTAACAGCGAAAACTAGAGATAACTTTAAATAACTTATTATACAGAACTCACTTTTTTTCTCAACACTTGTCGTAGCTGTTTTCATGTCTTTTTCAAAATGGCGGAAGACTAAATTTTTTCCAAAATTCGAGAGATTCGTGCATTTTAAAATTGATAAATTCAGTGCGCGAACTTCTCGCGTTCTCGCGCTGTAGTGAAAACACTGCAAATCTGTTGGAAAAAAGAGAGTTTGTTTATTCACGCAAATATACATTTTTGTGTCTGATTTTGTAACTTGAAATCTTTCGACAGCATAAAATAATTAGCATATTTAAGGTTAATTAATCTCTTGCATCTATATGAATGTATCTCAGTAAAATTCTAATTAAATAATATCCAAACCAATTTAATATGCTTTTCACTAAACAAGAAATACAAAAGAAAATATATTTCTTTCTAGGTTGTGGAATTCGGATGTCACCAATCATTTCCCCGAACATTCTTACGCGTAAGAAAAAAGAAGAGCCGGGTGAAAGAAATAGTAGTAAAGAGACATTTCAAAAGCGAAAAAAACGCTCTAAAAACGGTGATAGAACTAAAAAACCCATTATAAATAAGATTGTGAAAAACCGAGAATATTTTACACCGAAGATAATCGAAGAAAGGAAAGATATAAATCTAATTTCTGAATCAAATGTTAATAATTTTTCTAATTTAGAAGCTGGCAATGATCTTTCTGGCCGGCCACTGGTAAATACCCGTGAATCAGATTATGATAATATGCCGAGAAATGGTTCACATCGAATTTCCAATAAATCGATTGGTGTAATTACTTTCTCAAACGAAGTAAATTCAAAAATGCATCTAAGAGATACACAAAAGGAAGACGAGAATACTGTTTCTTTGGGTGGAAAATATGGAAGTCCTGGGAATCATGCTACAGTGGTTTCACAAAATGGCACTAAAATTGGTAATAGACATTTTAAACTGGAAGCAAACTGCAATGACTACATAAGCAGTACGAAGCAATATGAACAAAGCCGTTTAGCAACTACTGAACCGGATGAATTCATACTAACTAATGAAACGATAACTACTGAGGAAACAAAAAAGGAAAAAAGAGTTTTCAATCGCCTTAAAAATAATTCACAGTTAAACGAAGATGACGTAAAAATAATAACCGCAATTAAAACGGTGACGTCAAATAGTAAAGACGCAAAAAATTATGAAAGGCCAATAGGTTTCATTGCGTCTGAATCTTTTAGGAATAATTTAAACAGAATTCAATTTGAAACCGAAAATTTCTCGAAATTCCTTTACGAAAAGAACATTGAAAATAAAACTCAGAAAACCACCTCTAGTAAAAATAAGAAGTTACAATTTCAAAATATAAACCTGACAGACGACATTAAGAAACTGAGTCGCATTAGGCGAGAGTTGCAACAGGAAGCATTTACAGCAATTTCGACGAAGAGCGAAGAAGGTGCGAAAGATTCTGCTATTTCTGTGGCACAAACACATAGCCCAGTCAGCGGAGGTTATATTCGATTGACTAGTGATGGTCCTAAATTTACCTCAACTCCTACTATAAGCAACAAAAAACACTACACGGCTAGAGTTGATATTTTAGAGAAGAATTCTCAGAATGCTTCTAAGTCTGAAACAAAAAATAAAAAGAAAGGCGTGAATAAAATGATGAGATCGCATTCAAAGCGTGAAAAATCCTCAGGAAACAGTTATAAAACTATGGCTACCATTCCAATGATAGAACTAAATAATAACACTGAGTTCTTAAGTCAGAACACAAAAAGTTCCCAGTTAGTCGATCGAAAAGCTGAAATTTACACAATATCTTCTGAAAATGGTCAAGATGTTTCTGAAAATATTAAATTAAATTCTTCTGAGGCACAGTTGTTAGATATTTCTGGTACAGCGAGAGTAAGTGACGAGAGCTTAGAAGAGAATGAAAAACTGTTAGGACCCAATTATAAAGTTATGGCTCAAACTTCAATCCCATTGGACACTTTACCAGAATTATTCAACGAAACTGACTTTTTAAGTGAAAATATAAAATTTAATCATTCAACCAATTTAAACTTAAAAAATGAAGTTTACAAAATATCTTCTGAAAACGATCATGATGATTCTGAAAATATAACATTAAAATCTTCTGAAGTTCTGTTGTTAGATATTTCTGGTACAACGAGAGTAAATGACGAAAGCTTAGAAGAGGATATGGATGACAAGTTTCGCAATGCGGCTAATTCAGATTCAAAAAGTAAACAGAACAACAAGCAATCCCATTCAAACTATGAAAAACCGTTAGGAAGCAATTATAAAATTGTGGCTCAAACTTCAATTCCATTGGACACTTTACAGGAATCATTCAACGAAACTGAAATTTTAAGTGAAAACATGAAATTTAATCATTCAACCAATCTAAACTTAAAAAATGAATCATCTGAAATATCATCTGAAAACAGTCATGATGATTCGGAAAATACAAAATTAAAATCTTCTGAAGCGTTGTCGTTAGATATTTCTGATAAAGCGAGAGTAAATGACGAAAGCTTAGAAACGGATATGGATGACAAGTTTCGCAATGCGGCCAATTCAGATTCAAAAAGTAAACAGAACAACAAGCAATCCCATTCAAACTATGAAGACCAGTTAGGAAGCAATTATAAAATTGTAGCTCAAACTTCAATTCCATTGGACACTTTACCAGAATCATTCAACGAAACTGAAATTTTAAGTGAAAACATGAAATTTAATCATTCAACCAATCTAAACTTAAAAAATGAATCATCTGAAATATCATCTGAAAACAGTCATGATGATTCTGAAAATACAAAATTAAAATCTTCTGAAGCGCCGTCGTTAGATATTTTTACTAAAGCGAGAGTAAATGATGAAAGCTCGGAAGATATGGATTACATAGTTTATGATCAAAAATTTTTTAAAAGTGATAATAAAACTAAAAATGACACTGACCAGAATTTGTTTCAAATTACGCAGTTTGAATCAGAAGATTTTAAACCCAGAAACAATGAGAGTATTGCTTCAATTTTTGAAGTAACAGGTATACCTGTCCAATTTAGGAAACACCAAATAAACGATAAAAAAGCTGATGATATTTCATCTCTACTTCTTACCAGAACTAGACCTAGAAATAAGGAAACATCGTCAGAAGTTGAAAACCATCATTTGGATGAAACGATGGTTCCTTCTACACCTTTGCAAAATGACACTATTAAGGAGACGCCAACTGTCTTAGAAACTACAACAGAAGTTCCGACTTTGACGCATACTACTGATTCTATCACTGTACCACATTTAAATACTGGAGACACAAAAACAGCGACAGTTGCTTCTTCTGAGGAAGAACTGAAGCAACGAATGCATGCTGATAATACACCCAAAGCCGGATTGGAAACAGCTGAACAACAAGCAGGCCTTAAAACAGGCCCATTTTTAACTAAATCATTTTCTTCCGGTAAAGAGAACTTGACCAGATTGGACACGACTGATGCGGAAGCAAAATTTGAAAATGACACTGATGTTTCATTTCCGAATAACACATTAGATATGATGATGGAGATCATAACGACGCAAAAACAGAAAAATTTTAAATTCGAAGACAAATTTATGAACATTCCTCCTGATCCGGAAGAAACAGTAGTTGCTTCCGGTATGAAGAAACTTTACAGGAAAAGGTTGTTCCGGAAAGGGAAGTATGTCATTTCGCACCTCGGTCAAGAAGCGAAAGTGTTACGAGCACAAAAAGCTCACACACTCACTAACGAAACTCTTGAACAGGAGAAGGACACAGAGATGAACAGCCATACTTTCAAACCAAATAGGTTTCGTTCGTACCGAACGAAAAATTTGAACTTGAACAACGATTTTTTTCCCAACTACTGCCCTTGCAATGCAGACCAAGGATCATCAACCTATAACACAATACTTAATCCATACTACTCACCTAGGCTCGGACAATCCTCTTTCATACAGGATGATTTGAGTGATTATCGAAGAGCAGAATTCCATACCGATACTTTACATTCGAATCATAAAAGAATTCCCAATTCGTTTCATTTGGAAGGGATCAATTATCTTCCTCATGGAATACACCACCATAATTATATCCCTGAAAAAAACCGTAACTGTATTTGTCCTAAATTGATACCAAATAGCTATCTTATGAATAGGAATTCCCAATTTGACAGGGAATTCGAATCTGGAAACAGATACACAGATATACATCAACCAAATGCTTTGAAATCATATAGGAGTGGAGGTAGATCTTTTATACCAGATCATAATAGTGAAACACTTTCAAGTGCGCAAGGTATAATACCAAACAATCGTAAAATTCCCGATTCGTTACAATTGGAAAGACTGGGAAATTATAATATCGAAATGTCTAATGAGATACGTCATAGACTGGTAAAGAATTTGAACGCCTCTAATAATTTTCACCAACCTAATGGAAACGAATCACTGGAAAAATATGAGATCCAGCAAAATACTGTCGAAATCCGCAATGAAAACGCTGAGGATGTTAACATGTTCGATTATCGCTTGCTTGCTGATATTACTACATTCGAAGGTAAAATAAACGGTTCCCTGCAAGCCCAAACAGAAGATGATGATGAATCCAAACCTATCAGAGAGAGTAGTCCTGAGTTTACAATTGGAGGGAGACTGGAAACCATTTCTTGGCCTTGGATGGTAAGCATAGGAAAAAAGATTCCACTTTCTGAAATTCTAAACAGATAAAGCAGAGTGTTCCGCAATTACTGATTTTAATACATGTTTTTAGAAACTTTATTAAGTAAAAAACTATTCGGGGTTTCAATTTAATATTATAGCGAGGCTAACATTAGCAAAATCTGATGTGAGAAATGCTAGATTCAAAACTTGTTCCAAAAGTATAATCTGAAGTGAAAGGTAAATTCTAAAGACTCCGTCAAGTTTCCTTCAGCAGTCCAAGTTATACTTTTATCCCTCCTTAATAACGCTGATGTTCTTAATTTCGTTTCCTCAATAGTAATTCCTCATATTCTGACTAGTTTTTCTTTATTATTATTTTCCATCTCTTTAATGTGATTTTTAATGTTTTTTTCTCCATACTCGATAAAGAACTATATATATATATATACATCTATATATATATAT